CTGCTTAGATATCTAAGCCAATCTAAAATTGTACAAAGTATGCTGAATTTAATTTTTTGTCTCCCAAAACCAACGGTCAGCTTGTCTACCATTTATAAGATGTTCATGCGATTCACAATAAAGTCTTTTAAAAAAAAACTCTGACCCTCTATTATAAATGAAAAAATGAGGGATCAAGCACAGAAAGTCTCCTTTCCAAAAAAAAAAAGCCAGGAGCTATAGTGCAAATGTGCAGAATCTGCAATCAATTTTTGTATGGCAACCTATATTAAAGCGTCCCCTCCCCTGTCACCCTGCGAACCAGAAACCCGTTTTTCTTCCCTTATTTCTTGGCTCCCAGAAAAAAATAAATCAAAACAACGCCATTACGTCTTGTAAATTAGAGCTGCTTTCAGTCTGGGCTCTGAAAACAAACATCTACTGAACCCTCCCTCCCTCCCCACTCCCTCACTCACCCCCAACCCCCGTATCTGATAATCACCCCAGCCCACTCTCTCCTCCATCAAATAACAGCTCTGCTTTTTCACTAATAAATGTGACCTCCTCCCCTCTTCTCCCCCACAAACCCACCCCCGCGCCCCTGTTTTTTATTATTAATTTGGCAGCTCCCCCCCCCCCCCCCACCCAGCAACCGTTAGCTTAAAAAATTGCGCCGCTGCTGTGTGTGCTACCCTCGTCTCTTGCCTCGGTTTCTCCCGCTTCAGGTTTGAAGGAAAATAATTGGAAAAAGGGTAAATGTCCTTCTCGTCCCCTGGACGGGACACAATCTATCCAGCTCTCTCATTCCTTCACTGTCACCTCTTCTCCGCGGCCCCTCCCCTCCCAGGCACAGCGCGGCTCGGCGATGTAGATGAATTTAATATTACATTTGTATAATGAAAGGGGGCAGTGCTGGTCCCCGAAACCCCCAAATTATTCATTAGGATCCCCGCTTAATGACGCACCCTGTCAAATTTGCTTACGCGCCAGCCTGTATGCCTGGCTACATTTTCCTCGATTAATCAGATCTTTCCAATCGCCCTAATGGTACGCCCCTCGCGACATTGCGTCAGCTAGAGGAGCCGGGGAGAAACCGCGGGGGGTTGAAAAACTAAATGAATAAATGAGATTAGAGTGAGGGGGTGAGGTATACCAACGTCTTAATTCGGTTTCGGCTTCCTCACTACTCTACTTCCATTTTCTTAATTTTCAATTGAAATTGTAAAAAAAAAAAAAAAAACACAAAAAAATTGGAAGTCCAAGAAACAGGCGGGGCTCGGGGAGGGGCTAATGAAGGTCTGTACGCCAGGGCAAGTGTTACAAAATGACGCCTAGCAAGGTGACGTCCAGGGTGTTCGTGCTATTTAAGGAGGTCACGTGCGGCATCATCTCTAAATAACTCCAGACACAAAGACGGGACAGCGGTTTTTTGCACAAATAAAATGGCGGACTTTCTTCTTTAATGTTGCAGTCAAGTAGCCAGACGAGTGCCCAAAATAAAAATGGCGGGGGAAAATGGCGTGCAGAACAAGCTATAGTGGAAGTAGACAAATTAAAGCCCAAATAATAAAGTTGGTGTAATCTTTAAAAAAAAATCTACACAAAAAAGCCATAGGTCAAAAACACAAACAAAAGCCCAAATCAAATGGCGGTGTGATTTAATAGAATAGGTTTTGTGCGGAATAAGCACATTTAAAGTAGAGAATTTTTTTTTTAATGCCAATGTGGCGATTTGATGAAAACTATATTGCGGAAATAGTACATTAAAGATAGTCAAACAAATACACTACTAAAGTGACATTGTTAATGGATAAAACAGCGGATAAAAAGCTTATATAAAGTAGCGAAATAAGCTACGAGAGGGCTGGGGTGACCCGGGCCAATATTTTTCTTTTAGTAACAATCGTTAAAAGTTACACCCCCCCCCCCCCAAACTAAAATGTGTACCCTTGATAAGACAAGTGCCAGAAGCCAGCAGGTAAGGGCGACTACCCCCATCTAACAATGCAGGCCTTTTAACACGGTAATGAACCCCGGCGAGCCAGTCAAGCGACTGCCTGTTGTTGTAACCCATGATATTTCAGCCAAGTGCCACAAACCATCTGTACATGGTCTAACCGTTGCAGGCCGGGTTAAGTGCTCACGGGGGCTGCAACACTCACATAAGCCTATATGCGAGCAGCGTTTGTATGTGCCATGTATGTCTGACTTGGGGGGGGGGGGGGGGGGGGGCTGCAACACTCACATAAGCCTATATGCGAGCAGCATTTGTATGTGCCATGTATGTGTGACAGAGGTGGTGGGGGGAGATACTCCATGTTTAGGATACAAGGATACAAGACTTTTACACTCGGTTAGTAAGGGTAGGTCATGTATGTGTGACCGGGGGGGGGGGGGGGAGAGAGAAGAATTATATTTAGGATACAACACTACAGCATCAAGTTAATGTGTTTTAAACCTTTTTTTTTTTTTTTGGAGAGAAGTACCCAGTTGTGTAAAACCTGGATAGTCACACAAAAATTGGACTGACTTTCAATTCCGACTTAAGATATTTCTTAAGTGTATTTTAACTCTGTAACAAAGTACTTTAAATCATGTCAAACACTTTTGTTTAGGACTGGTATATTTCGTTTTGTAAGGATAAAAAAACAACAACAAAAAAATCCACGATTTCCTTGAACAGCTCAACAGTTCAAACAGTGTACACCGATGATTACTGAATGTGCAATACCTGAAGTGTGCACCTTTCGTATATTAAAATAAACGACCACAACACGACACTACAATTCTCATCAAAAGTCAAGGCTACCATCCCGATATACTAACAAGTTTCTTCAATAACTCAGTAACGACAACTCTATGACGCTGGCCCTCCATTTGAATTACTACCCTACCTTCAACTAACGGGGGGGGGGGAAGAAAAAAAATCTTTAAAAAAAAACATCCTACATGGGGAGAGGAGGGCGGTATGAGACTTCAATTTTAAGAATGTTAATCTTGATGAGTTGTAATCCCGGGTCAGGGGTCAGCATTTCTCTCCCCAGCTACAGTCACAAGACGGGGCCGTGTCAAAGCCGGGGACAAGACAAGCGTCCGACCAACCAGTGATTGCTTTTCGTAATCACTTCATTTTTCACGCTATCGCCGGCTACAGGACATGACACCCCTTGAAAAATTTGCACATCTCATTCCTCATTTTCAACGCCACCCGCGCCCCGCCAGCCCCCCTACACCCCTTTCATACGACTTTGTCTAAAAAAAAATGAGAGACGGGAAGAAAAAAAAAATATAACCAGGCAAAAATCAGTGCCCCCTGCTCAAATAACATCGTATAGAAGGACCTCCACCCTGTGCATGGGACTCCCCACTATATCTAACCCAATCTCCCCAGACAAGCCAGTCCGTTTTTAAACTTGTCCACGTTTTTTTTTCTCTCTTCCCTCCTCCTTATTTCATAGTTGAGAGATTTGAGTTATTTCTGTTTTTCGTTCCCGCATTTCTCTTCGGGAACCAACGGAGGTCAGCAATTTAATGATATTGATCAACTCGGATTCCCATGGATCTCTCGCCCCAAATTTGCACTTCCATAATCAACGGTCGTTAAACAGAGGGAAAGAGGAGCAGGGAGGCTTCAAGCAACACGCGCGAGGGGCTGAGACACGAGGAAGGGGGCTGGTGGGTGTGTATGTATGTATGTATGTATGTATGTATGTATGTATGTATGTATGTATGTATGTATGTATGTATGTATGTATGTATGTATGTATGTATGTATGTATGTATGTATGTATGTGTGTATGTATGTATATATGTATGCATGTAAGCATGATATATATATATATATATATATATATATATATATATATTTATCATACTCGATTTCTATCCCTTTATATATATATATATATATATATATATATATATATATATATATATATATATATATATATATATATATATATATATATATATATATATATATATAGTGTGTGTGTGTGTGTGTGTGTGTGATGATTATGTTTTACTTTTACAGAAATTAATAAAGTAACGCCATAAAAAATAAGCTGATCTAAAGAGACGTGTTCACATCTTCCAGACCCCATTAGTATTTAGATGTTTGTCTTCTTATCTTCTTTGAATCGGCGCATTAATTTGTGGCCTATCTCTCCACCGGTGGCTGTCAATAGGGCGCGAGTGGAGCTGCAGTGCACTCGGGAGAGGCCTTTAATGCCGGCCCGTGTGGTCGCAGGAGCCGAGCGGAACCCCGGCATTATTGGACCGCTGATAAGTTTATGATGTAAGGGTCCAATTTAATGACTTATTTCCAAAATGAAGAATCGGAGCGGAGCCCGAGCCGCGGCCCTGTTAATGAAATTTAGCGACGGAGCTATCAATTCTCCGGTAATGTCGTCGGAGCAGACCGCCTTGGGCCCGGGGTACGGGCCCTTAAGTGGCCCCTCTCATCAATATCTTGGCGCTCTCTAATAAGTATGTGCGCACGACTAGACAGCCTGACGCTGACTTAAGAAATTAATACAGGAACATAAAAATAGCGAGATGACAATTTCTCTAAAGAAAGCGCTGGGTGAGGAGTAAAAAGAAGAAACCGATAAAAGGAGTGAGGAAAAAAATGGATGTTAATAAAGTGAATCAACCACTCAGGACACATAAAAAAGGGGGAGGTTAAAAAGACGAACATGTTTTTATTGTTTCTTGTAGGACGTCAACGCAACAATATTTTCGTGATACTGAACTGGTGTAAGGGTGGTGGGATGGTATGAGATGTTGGGGCCGAATTAACATGGAGTGATGGTAGTGTGGGGATGGTGTGGTATGGTGGGACAGAATTAGCATGGAATGATGGTATTATGTGTGAGGATGGTGTGGAATGGTATGAAATGTTGGGATTGAATTAACATGGAACGATGGTATTTAGTGTGGTAATGGTATGCAATATTAGGATGGAATAGAATGTTAAGGATATTAGCATCGAACTGAGTGTTGAAACACTGGATAGACTTACCAACTTCTTGTGTCTTCAGATTTCAACACGGGATGCTGAAAATAAAAATAAGAACAAGTCAATAAAAACGTGTGTGCCTGATCTTATAATCCTTGCTCTCGGTGGTGACAGGATCTAAGGCTGGGTCCCCTATGTCTGTAGCTAGCCTGGCCTGGGAGGTAAACACACAACTATACAAACCCACCACTTGTACACCCAACCCTCGCAACATTAAGTCCCAGTAATCAGTCATACGTTCATCTAAACACTAGTATCACCCTTGCTTCAAAACAGCCAATCAAATATTTCTGTACTTAAACTTCAACTAACACGAGAAAATCATTTTTTTAAATGTAAAAAAAAAAAGTCCAACGCCATCACCGAAGATGGAAATAATTCAACTAATATAAAGATCTGCATAATCCAACTTGAAATCTAAATAAGCTCGAGACCCTTCAGTATTAGAAAGATTTAAAAGTTGGGCCGGGCCGGGGAGTCGGGGGAGAGGGAAAAAATGGAGAGTGTGACAAGACTTGTTATTGAATTTGCTCAAAGTGAAAGATAACCATCATAACCTGTATCGATTTTCCTTGCACCCATCACTCGAGTTCAGGCAATTTCAAATACTCTCTCACCATCTTCCATTTCTTAAAAGTCCTGTCAAAAAGAAACGAATGCTTTTAATGAATCATGCCGCAATTGGGTGCGGAGTTGTATAACGGCAACCTTCGCTCTTTCCCAGGGAGGGAAGAAAAATCTCAACTGTTTTTCCACGTCATATGGTAACCAAGTAATGAACTTTGTTTCCTTCGTGTCTCCGTACTACTTCATCAGCAGGGAGGCCAGTAAGGAGAAAGCTAAATCCCCCCCCCCCCTTTCCCTCCTTGTACAGTTTGACCTTTCCACTCTTGAAAGTGAAAGGGGAAAAAAATCCAATAGCTTTTCTAATTTCCAAAATGTGGATGCACCTTATTTCGTATGGCGGTAGTCCCTGTCCCATGGCGATACTTCGGTCAGTATCTTTACATCAGCAATTTGCTGGATTCATCAAACGCAAAATTGGGCCCTACGAAGATAATTTGTGGGTTTGAAGGCCCAATCAGGAATATTTGTCTTGCGTGGGGACACTTGTGATGGGACCCGCTCTCCCCCGGTCCCCACAGATTCCAGCATGGCCGGTGATTAATTGGTACGCACCACCACAATCTGACCAATCGAACAACAGTCGCCCAGCACGAGAGGCCCTCAAGACACTACTGACAAATTTCTTTGTTGTTGTTTTTTTTTTACCCTCTGTATTATCATCGTTTTCTATTTAAATGAGCTGTCGATTATGCTCCAAACTCCATTCCAAGAAAGAGAACTTATCTAAAATACATCGGTAACTAAGTCCGATAACCATTCACACGAAATGCCGGCTTTCCGCGGACTGACAGAGAAATAGATTGCTTTAATAACAAAATAAAAAATTCCATTTAGTTGCTTTATTTGTGATAATTGCTTCAGAAAACCTGGTTTCTCATCCCCGTTCATAACCTTTTCGATTCATACTTTAGCATTCTATTCCCCGAGAAATGAATTTAACCTTTTATTTCAAAGAAATAAAATAATTTTTGAAAGTTTTTGTCAGACTTTTTATGTTTAGATGAATTAAAGGCATGTAATCCTTTTTACCAGTAAACATGATAGGAAATCTAACATGGGCGATAACTGTGCTGAATGAATATTTTAAACAATTCAGAACCCCCTATAATTCTATTGCATTTTCAAATAACTGTCAAGAATTTTCATCAATTTTTTGTCTAACAACCAACTTGCAGTAAACCATGTAGATGCTGGGATATTAAAATTGACTTCATTTGGAAACAAGATTTTAAAAAAAAAATTGCAAGGACTCACACAATAAAACAAAACATGAAAAAAATTAAAATTTGAAATGGATATTTCAAGTTGCATCTGATTACTTATTATTGCTATCTTTTTCTATTATGGTTTGTATTTTTCTCTTAAAAATATTTAGCTAAACATTGATTTTTTTTAACTATCTGTATCTTAATATGTATTTCAAAATGCAACTGAATTCAAGATTTTATTTTAAAATGGCAGATAACAGACTCCAAAGAACATAAATACTAGATAACTTTTAAAGTTAGGGTTATATAGTGCAACAATTTTACAGAATGATAATTTAAACAGAATATTTTGAAATTTTTCATGGTAAAAATGTGAGTAAACTCTTGAAGGAATGAACTGAAAAAAAATTACAATAGTAAAGTTGGAATGAAATTTAAGGGTTGAGAATATTTGCGTTATGATCGTATGTGTAATGATTGTATGTGTAATGATCATATGTGCTACACACAGTTTCATATAGAGAATCAGGGACATACAACAACTATGTAATATAATCATTTATGTCATCTATTCACACTGTCATATACGAAACTAGCAACAACATACAACTACTATGGAATGACATCATTCATGGTCAACAGACATCAACACAGAGCTAAATCACAGGGGGGTGTAGGACAAAATGCCGACATCAAAAGGCTGACAGGACAAAAGGCAGAAGTGGTAAAAAAAAAGGCATACACCTCAAAACCTGATAGACTATAAAGCATGTATGAATCCTGATTTGACTAACTGAAGACAGAAATACAACTATAAGTATAAGAGTTTTCAAAAACTGTCCTAAATTTCAATTACTAAAAAAGTATTTCAAATTCCAAGAAAAAAAAATGTCAGTTTCATCATAAGTTAGAAAATATTTTCTCTTTATTACAATCGGTATAACATTCTCAAATAACAGAATGGAATAATGCAGGGCTGTGAGACCAGATTAAAAAGCAACAATTGATTGCGTTTAAATTAAAGCTGGGATGAAAACAACTTGGTTTCAACTGACCACTGTAACCTGAGAACTTTCTCATCAGTTCACACATCCAACACAATGACCTCATCAGTCATTGTCTTCATCACATCATATCTGTGCTCCACTATGCACATACAAGTAAAACTTGTACAGAAAATCACTACTTTTTTTACAAGTCTGCTTATGTATTGGTCTGCCCTTTACTTAAATTTTAAATCAATTTACATCACAAACAATAATTATGTCATTTCATCGGTGGGGTGAAAAAATCGATGGTTTAACTGATTGGAAAAATGTACACTAGTTAATTAATTTTAAAAATACATACCTCTGTAAACCAATGCTACACAGGCTGCAAGACAAATCGCAAACACTTGTAATATCTGTAAAAAGAAAAGTTCCTAAAATGACTATAATTTAATAATTTTACTCACTTTATGTTGTAAAAAATTTACTCACTTAATGTTAACTCAGTAAAAACTCAGTATACACTTAATAAGGGGCTTAGAGCACAGAACTTAGCTTGATTTTCAATTTATTTTTTTATTTTGAATGTTTTTCCATTTTTTTTTATACATGAACATTTTAAATTAACATAATACCATTATTAGTTTCAACTGAAAATTCACATTTTCATACATATTTTTCGAATATCAAGAAGGTACGTCCGTCTAGAAAAATATGAATTTACAGGAAAATGCTCTCAGAAAACAGGACTGTAAATTTTTTTCAAAGCGACAAAGCCTAGCGTGCATATATCAGCATGACCAGCTTGCAATCGCTCATTTAACTACCACAATTTGAGTAAAGTTAAACACACCTATCACCCACAACAGTCAAACACATCACTATGCCTATAAACCATGATGTTACTTGGCTATAAATACAATGCACAAAATTTTGATGGAGGTGTGAAATGACAAAATTTACTGCTCTTGATCTTATGACCAACATGACTAAATTTTACGATTGCTTATTATGTGAGAGCTCAATTTAAATTGATAGCAATTTTACAGCTACAAGTCCCGATAAATGTGAAACTAAAACTTCAGATACATACACCTGTTGTCCATTGTTCAATAGTCAAGTAAACACATCACTAGAGGATATATTAAAAAAATAATTTGCGTGTAGATGTATGACGATGAAATAAATCAGGTAGATGTGATACTACATCATGTCATACATCATATCTCATAAAAATAAACCGGGAGTGATCTACGTAAACTTTCTCAAATATTCTTATAATGGACACTACGAGGGATGGCAACTCGGGATATAGACAATATTTTTAATCTATTTTTAATTACTTAAACTTTTTAAAATAGAATAGAATCTCGTAGAAAAAAGAATTGCACACCAAGTGAAAGCCTAACAAAGTGTTATAAAAGTGCAGAATATTATTAGTACTTCATAAATTCAGATGCGTTTTTTGAGTAATCGGAAATAGCGTAAATTACTACTTCCGATCAACAGAAATTACTTAAAATTTGACAGAAGGCAGGGAATTAGATCTTTTCCTTACATGTGAAATTTCATTTATCTGTCTGAAATAGTACTCCAGTTATAGGCTTTTGGAAAATTTGAGATTAGAAAAAGTTCCACTTCCTGTTATCGGAAATTGCTGAAAAGTTGATACAGATCTACAAATTTGATATAATACTTATATATGAAATTTTATTAAAGAATTATAAATTAAATAAATGAGATCAGGAAATGATAACTGAACACAAACTTGGTTAAGTAACATTTTGTTGGATGATTTCTAGCTTTTTTTAACATATGTAAACCATAACATTACAACCCTGAAACCTTTCTGAATATTGTTTTTATATAACACTATGAAGAATGGCAACTTTTTAAAATAGAATACAATCTCGTACAAAAAAAGAATCGCGCACCAACTGAAAGGCAACCAATATGTGTATAATAGGCTTTTGAAAAACAAAATGTAGAATAAGTTCCACTCCTAGTTACTGGAAATTGCTGAAAAGTTGATACACAACTACAAATTTGATATAATACTTATAATGTACGAAACTTCATCAACCTAGCTGTCTGTAATGGTACTCAATCTATTGTGTTTACAAACACACACACACAGACATACGGACAAAGTTGCAAAACTATGTTTTTCTGACTCAAAGAGAGTGTAAAGCAGAGGTCTCCAAACTTTTTAGTCAGAGGGCCGCATTAACTATCAAATTTCAGTTCGGGGACCAGTTTCTTCCAGGCATGTCTTTGATTTTTCTGGGCAAAGTTCCTCAGCCATCACCAACAAACAATTTTTCCTTGGACAGAAAAACTCTCCACGGGCCAGATAAGAGGACTTTGCGGGCCGTAGTTTGGAGACCCTGGTGTAAAGCATTGAGATTTGTGAAAATCTCAATTTTTATTTTTTGCAAAATTACAACACTTCCTCTATACTTCATACACAACAAAGAAAAATGAGTTTTTAACTTTTTAAAACTATATTATTTTGGTTCCATATTTGGCTCTTAAATTTGATGTTTTGTTAACTTGTAATAATGTAATCTAAAACTTGGCAATATTGTATTTAAAATATTTAATTTAAATCATAGTTAGACATCTATTTTTACTGCTGTTTGTAGGTGGAGGTAAAATAAGAGATACAAAAAACAAAATGCTGATGTGTTATAAATGTGAGTAAATCGCAAAAACTATTGATCACCAATTTACCCATAAAACTTGGTAGACTATCATGCAGCTTTTTAATTTATTTTTGTATAGTTAGTTACCACCGATGCAAACATATTTTTGAGCACAAAAATACAAAAAGGTCACAAATCTACAATGGTATAGGCGTGTGCTCAGCCAAACTAGATAAATTACCATCAGATCTACACCTACTCCCCCCCCCCATGTCACAGATAACTACTATGAAAAGGGTTATCAACCAAACTCAATTAAAAAAAACAGTGAAGAAGCAGCATTACCAGCAGGTGATTCTGATAAAAATGCTTTTTCAACATTTGGAAATCTAATAAACAAAGAAAGGCTAAGAGAATTAATGCAAAGTGGCCTGTGCAAGCAAGTGGTGTTTGGCATTGTCTTATTTTTTGCCACTTTAAAATTAAACTTGTTGTGAGCTGCCCTTAACTTTCTCGAATATTTTTATACAAGAGTAACAATAAAAGGTAATTTAAGAATATAATCTTAATCTTTGAAAGAAATTTTGTCTACTTAACTGTTATAAATTATTAAGTACCACTTCTGGTAAGCGGAAATAGTTCAAAAGTTGATAGAAATTTGTGCATAAAATCTAATACTTACTTTATAAATTATGAGGGCCAAACTGAAAGGTAGTCAAGTTACCAGCTTTTGATATATATATATATATATATATATATATATATATATATATATATATATATATATATATATATATATATATATATATATATTTACATTACATGTGTGTGTATGTGTTGGCCTATAATTTAAATATGTCACATACGTGTACATGATATATGTGTATAAGCTTTAATCACTGCTGACTTAATAGTAACGATGTTCATCTTACGTCTGTTAATAATATAGTTGGATGTAGCAATGTTTTCTCAATAGTTAGCATGTTTATGTCATGGTGCCACCCCACCCTCTGGTAATAATTGTCAATTTGTACTTATTTATTTAAAGACTATTTAACTTTAATTAATCATTAATGGAACTGGCAAAAAGAAATTTTTCTCCTTTACATTTTTCTATTTTTTTTTGCATTGGTGTTACCCCCCTAAATGGTGTCACCCGCTGCGGCCCGCACCCCCCGCCCTGCCCTCGCTACGCCTCTGCTTTCACTACTTCCAGTTATGAGAAATCACTCAAAAATTGATAGAAAATTACAAATTTGATAGTGGCCTCAACTAAATCAACTAAATGGCCTAGGGCTTATTTCAAATTTCATCACCTCATTAATTGAAACAGTACTTATGTTATCGTGTTCAAGTGTTCACATACACACATGAACGGACATAAAGAAAAAATTGCAAAAATAAGTTTTTCCATCTCAGGAAGGTATAACAATCCAGGATTTGATAAATTTTGACTTGGATGATTTGGTAGGCCTATACAAATGTCCAATTATAGACTCTTCCAAAAAATAGGTAGGTTAGGTTGTTAGCAGCTTTCACTTCGCAGTACATCTGGTTTTATAGTTAGAAATTACTATTCAAATTTTGAAATTAGGGTTAGTTAGATGTAGATTCTAGAACTAGGGTTGGGGGTTGGTTAGCATTGACATTATCGAGTGATTTGTGTAGTTAGTTAACTACCAGTAACCTACTAACAGTGTTAGTAACATTCCTTTTTTAAGAAGATTCTAGAATAGATCTAGACATCTATTACTTTTATCGGACACACACGCACTGGCATAAATAAAAAAATCCACCAAATGTTTTATTTAATTTACTAACACAAAGTAGTCTCATAAAATTAATAGAAATTCTAGGCTTACTTTAAATTTTGTGTTTAGTTTGGTAAGTAGATCTAGATCTAGTCTAGAATTTAAGTGACTTAGGTCCAGATCTAGTCAGTTTTGGAAGAGTCTATTATCGGACATCAGTATCTAAAGTCATCCAAATTAAGTTAAAACATTAATTTAATGCACATGACTCTATTTTTATTTCAACGGTCAAATAAACTATGGTTTACAGTTTACACTACACAGTACACAGTACACAGTAATGACACAGTAAGACGAAGTCAAATGTTAACGAAACTCAACATATCAACATACCCAATAATTTCCGACGCTATATCGTCATTTTACCCAATTTTAAATTTAGATCTAGATTTATCTAGACTAGATCTATAATCTAGATTCTAGTCATTAGAATTAGAATCTAGTCTGAAGTCTGAACTCAGGACCCAACTTTAAAATTAAAACACAAAATGGACTAAGAAGTCATCACTAAGTGGCGGATGCCTACTCACTGGAAAGCACTGATGAAATAGATTTTCTAGATTCCAGTACTCGCTGTTATTAAGATAGCAGTTGTTACCGGATGATTTAACTAATTAGATATAGATTCTAGATCAAATCTGGTCCTAGTATCAGCACCTAGAGATCTACTCTGGTTGTTTTTTAAGACCGGTAGTTTTCTAGAAAGCAGCCATCTTGAATTAAATCCCCAATTATTTTCGCCTTTATACTATTCAATTATTAATTGTTGTGTAGGCTTATAGTTTTTAGAAGGATCAAGGCTTAGCTACGAGGCTAAGAGGGAAACACAAGAAACATTATATATATATATATATATATATATATATATATATATATATATATATATATGTATGTATATATATATATATATGCTGAGGTAGATTGACAAACAATGACGAGAAGCCGCGTTGGTGTTAACAATCTTTTATTTACAGACGCCATGATGCAAAGAGAGAGGAAGGAAGTGGCCAGAGACAACTATATATAGATAACAACATGTAAGGGACATCACTCAAGATAACAATATAAATATAATACCAATACAATTATCTCAATCTATTACATCCCTTTACCCTTAGAACACAATAACACATCTCTCAATAGAACAATTGATAGTATCCTAAAATCACCAATTATATTGTAACATGAACACTATGGTAGATTACATCCTTACAAACAATGCACAATATGCCACAACATAATTAAAATACAAAACAATAATGTCAAAGTCCTCTTGACCTTTAAGATCATAGGTCTAACTTATTTGTGACTTTGATTGTCCTGCTTGACCTTCTCAGTGGCTTTTGATTTGGTGACTCAATATTCTGACCATCTGGATTCTCTATCTCAGGAGGTCTAGGCTTTAAATCATTAACTCCAGAATTTACATTTTCTGACTCCAGACAACTTGGTTCACTCATATCAACAGAACTTGGTTGTGGAACAAACTGAGTTGATGTGAACTGTTCAGATTTGGTGGGATTGGCAGATTCACACTTATTATCTGCACAAGTTATTTTTAACTTTATAAGGCACAGGTCCTGTACATTGAACAATTTGACCTGGTATCCATTTTTCCTTTCTCCCATAATTTCTTAGATACACATTCTTATTAACACCAAATTCTCTTTCAATGCATGAGTTGTCATGATTTAATGGAACTATTTTTGAATTGGCATCTGAAAGTATTAAATGGCAAAAAATCTTTTTTCTTTTCTTTTGATGTTACCCTTTTAGTTTCTGTAAGTGCTAATGATGTTAGCAAAGTTGTTTGATGATCACATTCCTTCTTACTAATGTATTCTCTTTAAAACATTTGAAATTGCCATATCACCATAATCATTTATTAAGTTACAAATACTTTGTTTAGGCAACTCTGACTGATAATGGACTGCATCTTCTCCATCTTTTATATTATCTTCACAAAGGGTTTTAATTTCTTATTTTATATGGCCTTAAGTCATCATTCACAGACTCTTCAGGCCAACCATTCATACAGTGCTCATATACTTTTATTAAGCACTCATCTTTTTGTGTTTCTCTTTTAATATCATTCACATTTATATTGGAGTTATCCATGATAGTGAAGAGAACAAATACATCTTCTGGTACATAGCTCAGGCTTTGGTTTTTTTAAAGGTAATCTACTAAGGCTATCTGCACTATTCTCAGATCCAGGTTTGTATTTCAATTCATAATTGTATGCAGTTAATGTGATAGCCCATCTTTGAATTCTTGGTGAGGCATGCTCAGGTAGGGTTTTGTTTTCTCCAAATAAACCTAGCAATGGTTTATGATCTGTAAAGATGGTGAACTTCCTACCAAACAGAAACTTATGAAATTTCTTTACACCAAAAATGATGCCTAAGCCTTCCCTATCTAACTGAGAATAATTTTTCTCAGCCTGGTTCAAAGATCTACTGGCAAAAGCAATGGGTCTGTCACCCTTCTCATCCATGTGGGACAAGACTGCTCCTACACCATCTGGTGAAGCATCACATGTTAATATAAGTCTTTTCCCTGGGTCATAGTGAGTTAGTAAGGTGTCAGCAGACAAAGCCTCTTTTGCTGTATTAAAAGCAGCTTCTTGTTGTTTACCCCAGTGCCAAGTTGCATTTTTCTGTAGCAGCTTGTACAGTGGTGATAGTTTACCAGACAGATTCCCTATGAACTTTGCATAGTAATTTATTAAGCCCAAAAAAGCTCTTAGTTGTTGGGTATTTTCAGGTTTGGGTGCTTCTTTAATGGCTTTTGTTTTCTCAGGTTGAGGTCTGATGCCTTGTTTGCTCAATATATAACCAAGAAAACTAATTTCTGTCAACATGAATTGACATTTATCTTTGTTTATCTTTAAACCTTTTTCACCAACAATTTTCAATACTTTATCAAGTGTTTTAAGATGTTCAGTGTCATTCTTACCAGTTATGTACACATTGTCAAAGTACACACAAACATTTGGAATGTCCTTAAAAATACTGTCCATGACAGCTTGGAAAATTCCAGGGCTAGATGATATGCCAAAACATAGTCTTTCATATTGGTAGAGTCCTTTATGTGTGTTTATTGTCGTATAGACTTTTGAATCTGGATGCAGTTCTAGTTGAGTGTAAGCATGACTAAAGTCTAATTCAGTGAATTTGTCTCCTCCTGCCAAATTCAAAGAGATTTCCTCAATGTTAGGTATAGGGTACCTATTTAGCTCTATTTGCTTATTCAGTGTAGTTTTATAATCTCCACAAATTCTTATAGAACCATCCTTCTTTAACACTGGCACAATGGGTGTCGCCCAATCGGAATAGTCTACCTTCTTTATGATGCCATTAGATTCCAATCTACTTAGCTCATTTTCAATTTTATTCCTCATTGCATAAGGTGGAACTCTAGCTTTGCAGTATCTTGGATTTGTGTCTTTAATGCTTATCTTCACTGTTCTATCATTTAGTAATCCTGGGTTACCAAAAACACATTTATTTTCAGATATTACTTTATCTAGTGAAGTAAGACTAGATTCTTTTACATTCTTCAATGAACAAATACTCTCCCAATTTAACTTAAGATCACTTAACCAGTTCCTACCTAGTAATGGCGGTCCATTTCCTTCAACCACAAGAAGAGGAAGTTTAACACTTTGACCATTATAACTTACATGAACCATACACTCTCCTATTACCGGAACATTGTCACCAGTGTATGTTGTTAGACACTTGTGACATGGCTGTAGAGACACTGATCCTCCTGTGACAGCGTCAAAATCTTTCTTTGTTATGACTGTTAGGGATGCTCCAGTGTCAAGTTGGAAGCTGATGCTCTTACCGTTGATATAAACTTGTACATTGATGGGAGCATGACTTATTGATTTCACAGAGAACAGGTTGAAATCCGGCTGCGAATCAGTTTGAGCATTTTTACAGGTAGAGTGGTTCATTGGGTGGGTTAGGTAGTCTTGGTGAGAGTTAACATAGTGCTGCCTTTGGTTGCGGTACTGTCTTGACTGGCTAGATTTAGCAACAGACGAAGACTTTGCAAAGCAGGCCTTGGCAATGTGACCTTGCTTACCGCACTTATAACAAGTTGCTAACTTGAACTTGCACCGATGAGATGCATGGGGACCTTTGCATCGATGACATTTTTGATAATTATTACTAGATTTAGATCTAGGATTTGAACGAGCAGGCTGTTTAGCATAAGTTGGAATGCTCTGTTGGGGTTGATGTTTGTTGACTAACCTGCTGTTTACTGCATGGATCCCTGAAGGCGTAAGAGATTTCGCCGCATCTGATGACTGCTGGAATGAAGTTGCAAGTTGTATTGCTTTTTCTAATGTTAGATCTGACTCGAGCAGCAACTTTCTTTGAATATCAGGACTGTTTACACCTGTCACAAACTTTTCACATAATCTGTCAGACAGCGTTTCTCCGAATTCACAAAATCTACTTAAATGACGTAAAGCAGCAACATATTCTGATATTGACTCGTTTGGTTGACGAGTCCTACTGTCAAATCTAGCTCGACATAGAAACTTTGATGGGGTAGGCGCATGGTGGTCTGTTAGCAATTTGCTCAGCTCGTTAAAGCTCTTGGTAGTTAAACTTTCTGGTGCGCATAAGTCTTTTAGTAGCCTAAATTGTTGAGGCCCTATGACTGTTAACAAAACAGCTCTCTTTTTGGCTTCTATCGTCACGTCGTTAGCTTCAAGGTAAAAGCTTAACCTCTCTAGGTAATCTTGAATGATTTCATCATTCGCATCAAATTCTTTCATTTGGCCATACAGCGCCATAATTCTAGAAATAATTAGCTAATAAGCTCTAGCAAACCTCTTTTTTGCGTAAGTAGGTGCTCTTTCTAGTAGATGTTTATCCTTCGTCGCCAAATGAGGTAGATTGACAAACAATGACGAGAAGCCGCGTTGGTGTTAACAATCTTTTATTTACAGACGCCATGATGCAAAGAGAGAGGAAGGAAGTGGCCAGAGACAACTATATATAGATAACAACATGTAAGGGACATCACTCAAGATAACAATATAAATATAATACCAATACAATTATCTCAATCTATTACATATGCCTAATTACATAGAGAGAGGGGGATGAATTTGGGAGCTTAGGGCCTAAATAAATTTAAAGAACTAGATCTATAAACTATAAACAGAGTCAGGGTCGTTATTCGTGTGTGTGATTCACCTATGTTGTATACATCTCACACAGACTTCACTTTGTTGTTTAATACCAAAATATAAATATCGTTGTAACGGATTTTGGTTATTGTATTAACAAAATACTCTAGAACTTTCACCCAATTATCCACTATCCGCGCCCTTTCACGCCATTTACATGGTGTCGCCGAATTTTAAAAAATATCAATTAATAAACAATATTTTATCAGGTTTAAAAAAAAATGGTGTGGTGAGAAAAGATTTTTAAAAAGTTGTTGGGGTGTGTTACCGAGGCGGAACTAAGTGGGCGCCAAACGGGGTAAGAAAAAAGGGCATTCTGATCTACATTACTAAACTATACACAGCCGAAGTTAAGATTTTTTAAAGTTCCATATCCGTTGTATGTCACGAAAATACACAATCTTAAAGAACAGTTAAGCTTGGGGACGGAGGCTTTTTTGACTACTTGAATAACAGTTGACTATAGTTAAATTGGGGGGGGGGGGGGG